TTCATATGCAACATCACTTGACATTTTGCTGTGTGAGAATGTGACATCACATGTTTGATATGTAGGATGATTGGATGACACTGGAACAATTTGAAATGAATTGGTCATTATATCAAGATCCATCTATTCAACATAATTTGTTGGGTTTTGCTTTCTCTTTTTGTATTTGAATTATTGATGAATTATCATGTTCAAATGCATCAATCATAAAAAAAAAAAAAGTTTAAAGTGTAACATTTATTATAGTTACACTATTAGTGCATTAGTTAACAGCAGAGTCCATGTCATAACTGTATTTGTGAGTTTTTTTTTCAGGAATATCACCTACAATTAGGAATTGCTGCCTAATTATCATACAACTTTTGCACTTCAAATTTTGTGCCTAAAATATTTGTGTGGAACATGTGCAGGTATAAAGAAGCAGATGTTATAACAAGCTTACATAGAGGACCGGGTTTGTGCGCTTAGAAAGATTATATTGCAATTCGGATGCTAGTATTTTGCTCGGCATCCTCTTAATTGGTTGAAGAATTATAGTGGTAGCTGCAAATGAAGGCTCGCTATGTGCTTATTGTAGATGATCTATATCATCACTTGGTGTAGGAGTAAGACTGCTGATTGGAACTGTTAACGGTGTTCATCATTGCTTCTAGTAAATTGCAATCTACCTCGGAATATAAGGGCGGGATATTCCATGGTGAAACTCTATTCGGCTGCGCATGTTGTTGTGTGCCAGTCAAAGTTGTATCTTTCTCTGTTTTGTGATGCAATGTTCTTGTTGCAAGACATGCAAATGTAGCTACTTTGTGATCATGAGTATTTGTTCATGTACTCTGTTCATTTGACATTGATGATCTGAGGATGTTTCTTTGGTTAATTGAAGTGGTAAACAATCACTGCAACAAATGATTAGGTGGTGAATCGAATTTGGTCCTGATGAGATTTGAATGTGTATGTTGTTGTGTGCGGTAGAGACTCACCATCTCTATGAGTTGCTCACCCAACTCCATTTATGTTGTTGTGTGCGGAAGAGACTCACCATCTCTGTTAACAAAACGATAACCGTCACAATGCTCTCTTTCTCGGGGTGTCATACGAACATTAGGCTTGGAAGGGGCCCAATCGATGGGCCGTTCAGCTCAGAACGCGTGGCAGATCTCCTCTTACACGGACTCCGTTAGAACGACGACTCCGTTTCACGCACGCGAAAAGACGCTTTTCTTTTGGGAAACTGCTGATACCTTTGGATGGGACCCGACTTGACTCCCAGTTGTGGGAGACCTATAAATACCTTGCATTCTTTCCTTTCCTTCTCGTCTCGCTTCTTTCGCCCTTCCCTTTGCTCGATTGATCTTTCTCCGATTACTAACTACTACATGGAGTTTCCGACCTCAATCCCGCCGCCCGTCTCTTCGGTTCCCTCGCTTGACCTAGACGCGATCGTTCTGTGGCCACCATCAAACCCTCATCTTCCTCCGAACGAACAACAGGGATGTATGGCGCCTCCCCCTCCCAAGAGACCACGGCTCTTCTTGCACGCACCACAAGAAGAAGAGGAAGCAGCCTCGCCGATGATGATTGCTTCCACGCCTCTTCCTGCTGCTTTCGTTCCAAACATGCCGCCGGCGTCATTTTCGACAATGCCTCCTCCTCGTCCTCTTCCTCCCACGAACGCGCCGAACCAGGTGCTCTTCAAGACGCGCCTCTGCCAGAAATTTAGGGCGACGGGGTCCTGCCCCTACGGAGACTCCTGCAACTTCGCCCACGGGCCGGAGGACCTCCGCCAGCCGCCGCCAAACTGGCAGGAGATCACCAGGACGCAGAAGATCTGCAGGAAGTTCTACGCTGGGGAAGTTTGTCCCTACGGGGAGAGATGCTTGTATGCGCATGTGAGAAGAGACGGCTCGGTCGTGGCCCCCGCCGGCCGATCGCATCCTTCCAGGAGTTTTGGTTCCGCCGGCGGGAGTTATGAATCTAACCGGAGTATGCCGAGGTCGTGGAATTCGAAGCCCTTTCACAATCAGGAAAACACTAGTCGCCCCACCAATGAGGAGCGTCGCATCTCGGCTCATGGTTCTTCAGGTACACTTTTCGAAGCCTTTGGTTAACTTTAAACTGAGTATTTGTTTTAATGGCTTATTTGTTGGCTTTAAACTGAGTGTTTGCTTTAATGGCTTATTTGCTGCTCTTCTGTTCACATGAGTTGTTTGTTCCATTCTTTCGTGGTTGACATATGTTTTGCTCGATGTAGTGCTCTGTTTGCCATTTTGTTGGACTCTGCCACAACTGAACTAAATATCTGAAATGAGCGGATTGATTCTTCACAAACACAGACTGTCTAAATTGGTAGCATAGCAATTGCAAGTTCCTAAAATACTAGTATGTGCACATTGATATGTGTCTGCATGGCCTTCTGCCTTAGGAGAAGGCATCTCTCATAGTATATAGCTGCTCTACATCATGGTGACATGGCGGTGCCTTGTACAACAATTAAAGTATGGAATAACTACTTCAAGCTGGTGTATAAAACATTGATGTTACCTTGCTGATATTTATCCTTTTTGTTTGAAATAGATTTTTTATTTTTATTATTCAAATATTAATAGACAAACTACAAAACAATTTTTGTTGCTGAGTATATCTCCACAAATATGAACTTTAACCTAGTGTCCTAGTTCTACTAGGGCTCTTCGAGGCAATAACAACAATAATATGGATGATTGATTGAGCTTAATGATCATAAGCTCACTACTTTCCTAATAAAATAATGTAAGTCCTCTTTAAAAATGTATTTAATTTGAAACTTCATTCTAGAGGAAACAAAAGGGAAGCAGAAAATATCAGAGGTATTAGTAAATCTATAATTTACTTCTTGGTCAACTTTAAATAACACAGCACATTGCCCTCAAGCAAACACTAAATTAAACTTTAAATCTTTAAATTTTAAAGCCTTATTGAGTATGAATTTTTTTATACAGTTTTTTAACTTTACTGAGATTATGACCATAGACTGTAAATGGAGGATGAATCTAATGATATAAAAGGAAAGATTTTTGGATTTATTCTTTGCCCATTTCATTGTACCTTCTAATGCATGCCCATGTCCATTTCATTATACCTTCAAATGCATGTTCATGTTAGGCTTCTAGTTGGAGAAAAATTCTTTTCATTTACAACATGCCATCATCATGGTTGCAGATGTTACATGTGATTCCTCCAATGCAATTGCTATGAGCATCTCCATGTTGTACTTATAATTTGTCCACACCAGTTGTAGCCCTTTGCCTACATGATCATATTTATATGTTTGGAAATATGCTGGAGCTATTTTCTTAATTGCAATCATAAGAGATTTTTTGAGAATATGTTGCCTTGTGTGTTAATATCATAGCATTAATTCCTTAAAAAACTATTAAAAAAAAAAAGCAAAATATGAAATCGAGCCTTTCTATTATCTCTTATGTTCATAAATTAATTTTGTTATATGGTTTATGTTGCAGAATCGAAGAAACCTTCAACGAGTGTCGATGTTGATATAGATGATTCAAATAATTTTATTTCTGATGGAATAGTCTTAACCAACGCGGACAAACCTACAAAGATTTTTTTGAAATTACAGCGTATCAAAAAGCTAAATCATATTTATGCAGACTGGATCAGTTAGTATACCACTGCACAACAAATCGATTCCAAATGGGATGTATAATTTTAGATAGAAAAATTATGCATCTAGTTAGATAGGGTAATCAATTAAATTGGGATCTGATTTCTTGAAAGGTTGTAGAGAGGGAGGGGGGGGGGGGGATTATAGGTACCTTTGCTCCATTTGAGTTGACTAAGTGTACCCATTATAGGAATAAAAACTTACTTTTGTGATTAATTTTAGTTACTGTTCTTATGTTATCAGACAAGTTGAGATGTAACCATTATAATTGCAACTTGAACTTCAGTTATGTTTTATCATGTATGATTTGTTGTTACTGCGAATGAATGAATATTGAACAATGTTTTTAAAGATATTAACTAACTTAATTGATAAAATATGGATCTTTTTATATCATCATAAGATTGTATCAAATACAATGAGTGTTGATAGTGTTTGATAATGAAAATATAAGATGGAAAACAAACTATAAATCAGATGAAAAGCATATTATAGATAAATGGGATTATTGTGCTAAGCTCCATAGATGGCTAACACATTCGCTTTTGAGTTTTACTCTGGTTATGAAAAAGATAATATTGATCCCAATATAAATAAATTGATCTAATTGCACTCGGAGTGATGATGGATGGTTGACACTAACAAAATCTGATCCCTTCACAAGTTTGTACCATTGAAGTTTGATCTTCGTTGAGGGACAAATGTTGTTGGAAGATAAGCTAAATTTTATATAAAATGAAAGCATTAAGATTTTTAATATGTTAGATAAATGTAAAATATATGTTTTTTGGGACTTTATTATATATTGAGATAAAAAGGATAAAACAATAAAAGTTTTAGTGTATCTTATTAACTGAAAATAAAAAACACACAATCAATTGCATCAATTACAGAGTGATACATGAACATTTAAATTAAAATTTTATTACAATTTGACCAACTCGATGCTAAACTCAAGTCCTTTTATATAATTATATTTTTTAAGAAAATCTTAATATTTAAATAATCAAAATAAATACCTGTTAACGGTCAAATATCGAGTATAGGATGAATATATGGTTTTATATTTTTTTTATTGAGATATTTAAATTGATTAGTGTATTGTTGTATAAGTGGTAAGTATTTATTTTATAATCTTTGATGAATTATTTAAATTGATTGGTGTATTATTATTGTATAAATAAATGATAAATATGGGGATGGTTGGTACAACACTGCACCAATCTAAAATAGGATGAACCGTGAGATGGACGGTGGGATTTTACCTGCGATCGGAGCGATCTACGATATCAATCTACAATATTGTGGACATTATTCATACGAAGGTGAACGGCGAACGAGCTGAGCCGATCGACAGAGAATGTGGTGCGGCGGAAAGAAAGAGCGCAAAGCCTTGGCGAGCTTAATGACGAGTCGCTGCCGCCTTCGCCTCTCCTTTCTCCCTTTCTTGACTGCTTTGTTCGCTTGCCCGCTGCCGTGTTCATCTCGCGAGTAAGATTTCGATCCCTTTCGTCTTCGTTAGGGTTCGTCGTTTTTCGATTTCAATCTGGTGGAATTTTTTTCTGCTCGATTCGTCTTTCGTGGCGAGATCAGTTTGAAGGACAGGTTGGGGGAACGATTCTTTCTGGGTCTTTAGTCCCGGCGAATTTGCCAGTGCTGCTCTTAGATGTCTCTTAGGTTCTAGATGTTCGTGCCTCTTTGTTCCAAAACATTCTTTATCGTCCAAATTCTTGAGTTAAAAGTCCTCCTACGAGTCATCCCTACGCATTCCATGTCTTGAAGGACAGATGATACTGATGTTGAACCAGTGAGCTCATTAGATGCCTAGCCGGGGATGCTGATGTTCTCGCATGTAACCAAAATGTTTGCATGACTAGAGGATTTCCGGTCCAACCTTCCAGCTTGGTGATATGAACGCATAATCATATATGCCGAACAACTATTCATTTCCATTGCTATGTGAATCCGGCAAAAGAGTCTATTGATTTCACCTCTAGATTTGGTTGAACTGCCCTCTTTGCAGTTTAAGGTCGTGCTCAAATCTCTTGAAGGTCACTAATTCAAGTGCAAGAGAATTGGCGAAAACTTTGCTCCCGTAGGCTCTTGTTGTGGTTTGATGTGTGTCTCATGGACTTTCATCAATAGTTTGTAATGGAACCTTGGAGCAGTGAGCGCCTGTACAAGTCTGCAATACATAAAGCAATATGTTTCTAGTTGAAGTGATCATGATGTTTTAATTTCCTAAAAACTAGCTTTCCTAATAGGCTAGCTAGATCATTTTCTGATGTTAGTTTGGGCTGTGTCATGCATACAAACATGAGTTTAGTCTATTTAGTTTCTATTACATTGGTCGCGAAGGCAGAAGCGCGATTACTGCTTCTTCAGCGACAAGTGTTTCCGTGTTGATTTTTGATCTTTTATTATTTTTGTTCTTGTAGGTTGGAACTGGGAATCGAGTCATCCAAACATGATCCTCTTCTGCAACAAGACAGTTTTGCCCTCTCCATTCATTTTGATCCATCTAAAGTAATTCAACTGACATGGCATCCAAGGTCAGTTTTCATTGGCTAAAACTAGTCTGCTCATGCTTGATAAAACATGATATGATAATAGCAATTCCCTATCATCCGGCTTGATGCATTGCATATTTTGTGCATAGAAATAATTGGTTTGTTCACACAGGCACTCTTCCTTTACCCAATACCTCTTTATTTAACCATTTGGCATCTCTTTACTCTGTTTTAGGGTGTTCTTTTATGAAAGATTTCTCACTGATGAGGACTGCGACCACCTAATTACCTTGGTAATTTCCTGTCCTTTGAAGTTTCAAGTTCTCTCTTTGGTCACTGCATGGTGAAGTGCATCAAAAATCCCTTTTGTTTAGTACAGGCTCAAGGTAAGCTGGAGAAATTAGTGGTTGACGCTAGCAAGGGGAACAGTACGGCAAGCAGCCTTGATATAAGCAGTGGGATGTTCTTGCCCAGGGGTCAGGTTAGTTTTTTGTGCCATTTGGAAGAGCTGAATGCCTGAAGATTCTTATTCTTTTATGATATATTGGCAATAATAGCAGCTTATTAGGGGTCTGCTTTGTCTCTGATGGTTCATGCAGTATTAGTCATCACATCTTACCTTTATGCAGTGCTATGAGACAATTTTGTATTATCAATAGATCATCAGTCACACATCTCCATATCTGCTTCTCAGTTCTAAGTACCACAAGAGTCCTTATAGTACATATGCATGCACTTGTGGCAATGAATTAAATATATATGTATATACTATATCTTAATTTAATTGTTATGTTTTTATATTTATAGGATGAAGTTGTCTCTAAAATTGAGGAAAGAATATCCACATGGACCTTTCTTAAAAAAGGTATATTTGGAGTTCCAAACACCTTTAGAAACCAATTATTTTCTCCTGTCTTGTTTGAATGTCATTGCAGCAATTAGCAAAAAATTGCAGCCCTCTTATTTTCTTCCAGAACTTTATAATCCTGTGGTTAACAGAAAATGGTGAGAACATGCTGATCATGCATTCGTTGGCCAATGAAAGTTATGAACCACATTATGACTACTATCATGATGAATCCAAATTAGCAGTTGGCGGGCACCGGGTTGCGACAGTCTTGATGTATCTATCCAATGTTTCTAGGGGTGGTGAAACAATTTTTCCTCAATCAAAGGTGAGACTAGAGCTTTATGCCATTTTTTTATTCTATTTCTTGGAATAACTACCTGGATGGTTGGAATAAGGATGCAGAAAAAAAAGAATGAACTTGCCATATGCTGTAATTTAACCATGCTGCTATTTTTATAAGGCTTGCTCTTAATTTTAATAAAATTAAATGCTCTACTTGATCCATCCGACAGCTAAAAGACACTCAAACAAAGGACGATACATGGTCCCCTTGTGCAGCAACTGGTTATGCAGTGAAACCTCTCAGAGGTAGTGCCATTCTTTATTTCAATCTTCATCCTGATGCAACACCGGATGAGGCTAGTCTACATGGAAGCTGTATGGTGCTTGATGGAGAGAGGTGGACTGCAACAAAATGGATCCATGTGAGAGACTTCAATCCAAGCAAGCATTCCATTGTTTCTGAAGGGGAATGCACAGATGAAGATGCTAACTGTCCCCAGTGGGCTGCAATAGGGGAATGCAAGAGGAACCCTGTGTACATGTTAGGTACTCCGGACTATTACGGATCATGTAGAAAGAGCTGCGGTGCATGCTAACGTTCTGAATTCATCATGACAACGTTGGTCCACGGTGGAGCAATCCATACAGAGAATTTGCTGGCTGATCCCAAAGTTCAGCGGTGTCATGATAGCTGGAAACCATCACACATGTCTGAGAAATCTGAGGCATTTGCTGCATCGTCATTGAGCTGTTTCTGGTGTGCCTCACTGAGAAGATGTCTTTCTAGTTCCTATACATATTTTGTCCAAAGGAAGTAACTCATTTGTTACAATCTTAAATGAAAATTTGTTGTTTTCAATTGTATTTCCGGTAAGCAACCCTAAAAACTGTTGAGATTATTGGGCAGGACCTGGTAAAGCTTTAGAATATCATGTGTCTTGTTGAATTCATCCACTCTTTTACATCCCTGCTGATCGATGTCGAATCGATATCAAATACATGATACTTGAGAACATGTACCATCTGCGTAGATGATATAAAAGCCTCTACTTGTTGCATGAGTTTTGTTCTAATATTCTTTTCCTTGTGGGTCAATTTACACTACAAATCTTCTGTTGAGGATGTGGAATATGAGTTCATTTGGAATGTTTTTACGACTTATGGGTCAATTATATCTCTTTGGACTTGTCTTCTATTATGGTTGATAAGTAGTTTCAGAATCCTAATATTCAACTTATTTGAAGAATAGGATTACAGTAAGTAATTCAAGCATGGAAAGATTTCTTATAAATTAATATTTGATTGTTTTATAAATATCTTTAAGACTTATCAACCGAATCTCTTTTGGACTTTGCTCTTTTATTATGGTTATAATTTTAAACTACTTAAAGAAAGAATATTATAAACATTGTATCGTATGTATCTCAAAGTCTTGATAAAAAGAATACATAAAATAAAAATATTTAGAATATTTTATTATTCTTTTAAGTTTTATATGACAAGGTGGATATGAATATGAATTCCAAATGTTTATGATAAGTTTTATTTCTTGTATTTTATTATTCTTATATAATGATTTTTGTTTTTTGGTCTGTCAAGATATCTTCAGCTCCTCCTTGTGTTTTTAGTTCGAATACTATATGCATTCACTAAAGAGCAGATGCTTCAGCTTTTTCTAGCTGTAAGTGCAACAAACCACTGCAACTGCGAATGGGAATGGGAATTGGAGCTGCTCGCGGCTAATTTCTCTTGCTCGATGGACAAGCGGTGCCGTCGTTTCCATTAGCTTCGATGTGATTCGCCTGCACAACTATTATAAAGCCTTCATGCTTCCGAAACCTTCCCAATCACACGGCACAAACGCCGAATGCATTGATTGCAACACGACACAGTTAGCACCTAAAGCTAAGCCTCTCGCGGCCTCGCGTTGTCAAAGTCTTCCCCGTCGTAACTACGACTTCTGACGTCGACATATTTTGTCAGTGTAAACAACTTTATGCCGTGGTCTTGGGGTCGACGCAGTTTGATTGGGGGTCCGAATGACGGGGATCTGGCACGGCCCCCCTTGAGATCGTCCAGGTGGTCGATTACGGTGGTCCGATCGGGACGTCGCGTCGGGAGGGAAGCTTTTCCGCAGCGCTGGGAAGATGCAACCCCGCCCTTGTACCTGCACACAGGTCGGGTCGGAAGCTCGGCCCGACCCCTCCGACGATCAAGTTAGATGATGTGGAGTGGACTTTTTTGTTTGCGTTTGTCCCCTTCTCATTGTTTAGAACTCGGGGGTATTTATATGGGAGTTTACTGTTTCCTAATGTGGCCGCTTGCAGGGGGCAAACTCGTACTCCTGGTAGCGTCTGACACTGGTGTTGGCGTGACGGGAAGGACCGAACTGTCGCAGGGTATGGGCACGCCTCGGTCGTCCTCCTCCTCTTCCTCGGTCAAGTATGTTGGGTCGGACGACGACGAAGTCATTGTCTGAGAGCGGGTGACGTCAGCGCACATCGCGTCGGCATTATTGTCCTCTTTTGGGCAAAGTGTCGTTCAAGCGTGGCTGACGTCGTGGCGCGTCATGTCGCCATTATTATCCTCATCACATCGGATGATAAGAGAACACCAAAATGATTAATCTACGTTAAGATATTCGAACTAATTAGTATATTATTATGATCTTTTTAGGTGATAAAGATGAGATTTGAGCTTAGGATTTTTGATCTATCAAAATCTTTATACACCTTCAAATTTTACATAGACTTATTTCACCTCTAAAGTTATCACGTAAGGATGAAATCAAGCGACAAGGCAACAGTCGAAGTAGCCTTCTTGACTTGAAGTTGGATCAGCGCTTACACCCACCACTATGTTATTATTTCTTCTCCCTATCGCCATTCTGATCTATCTATCCCTTCATAATTTCTTCTCCATCCTTGTCTGCATTGATTAGATAAGGCTCCAAAACATCCACCTCTTTGTTCTCCTCTACCTCATCGAAAAGGACTAGAGAGAGAGAGAGAGAGAGAGAGAGATGGCTGGTCTGCAGAGGTCTGCACAAACCTTCAGGAGATCAGGCTCATCCGGGCTGGTGTGGGACGAGAGGTTCCTCTCGGGGGACCTGAACCAGCAGAGGAAAGAGGAGGAAGGTGGCTCAGAATTCAGGGAGCTCAGGCACGCGCAGAGCTTCGGATCGAGCGGGACGACCGCGCGCAGAACGGCCTTCCGCGCAGGCCCCGTCTTACCAACGGCGGACCCGCCGTCGCCTGACGCCTCCGGTTGCTTCCTCTGCGGATTTCTTAGCAAGCCAAAGTCCACCAAGCGATTCAAGCCCACAAGGCATTAGCTTCTCTTCTGTCACCGTGCATGTTTAGCAGTGTGTTCGAGATCTCCGGTACTTGTTTCGTCTTTACATTAAGGGCATACTCATATATCGTTTAGCCATTGATCGGCAGTCCCAACCACTGCTTGCTTTCACTTCCTGTGGATTTGCATCTTTCCTCCGACTGTCGGCAAGTTTTATTAGTTTTTGATCCAATCATATCAAAACAGGTCAAATATATTATATTAAAATTTGATACAGAAATTTTTTAATTATTTATTCTATGTTCTACGTTCTCGTTTATTTTCTAAAAATCATGACGAGAGATTATATATCTTTTCTGTATCCCCTTTTAACCATATCATAGAGACTATAAATCCATTTTCATCTCTCACGATAAATATTCTCTTATATCCCTATTATTTCTAAATCTAATTTTCTTTGTAGATCGACATCGTTATAATTTTTTGATATAACGATAATGAGATTTTTAAGCAACATAAAAAAATTATATATCGTAATTGTTATTTGATTTTAGATTTTAATATTAAAATCTTTTATACAATAATAACATATTATAGTTTTTATACTTCGGTAATAATCCAGAAAATATTACCGACTGTCGGAAAGTTCGATCAGTTTCCGATCTGTTGAAACGGCGCAAAGGTTCGATCGCACGTGACATTGGTGTGAAAGTGAATGACCACATGCTGCTGCTCCACTGTCGTGGAATCTTACCGGAAGTCAAGCTGTTCCGATGGGCAAATCAATTCCATTTGCGCAGCTAAGTCAGCTTCACGTCATCATCAAGTTTAAGTTTAAGTGATTACAACTAATACTATCAATTAATTATGATTAATATCAATTGCAAGCTGTTTGACGAAGTCATCGTGGGAGGATATGGTATGGCACGGCAGGCGGACCCAATAACTCCGACGCCTATTTGTTTCTTATCTTAGCTCCCCCCTATGAGCGACATAAGTAATTGACGTGGTGGGCAGAGTGTCGCCTTGAAGGGTCATCGGATGGTTGTCGCTTGTACTGCATCATGAGAAGTTGCTGTCCACAAATCAAATCATGCCACCCTGCGTCGGTCGGTGCTGCTTCGTCAGATTAGTCGATAAAGATAGTGACGATTTATCGTAAATTTTAAATTCGAATTAATTTTTTTTTTAAATTGATAATAATTATGTTATGAGAGTATAGAATAAACTATAGATTATTATAATTATCTAAAACCGTCGGGTGGGATCAAAAAGAGACAAATGCAAGGAATGAGGAGAATTGATGCGCTCGGGTGCACAGCCACATGATTCGGTGGCGATCCGACCGCTCAGAAGCCTCCACGCTCCCATCTCCTGCGCCTTCGGATTCCTGGCTGCGTTCATGGCTCCTCCTCCCGCCACGCTCACCGGCCGACGACCAACCGATTCCTTCCCATTCCCACGGTTTCTGCCGCGTCTCTAAACCCCCAAACCTCCGGTTACGGACATCTGTATGTGGATATTATTGTCAGTGGCAGGAGTAGCTCACACGCTTCGTTGCTCTTTCTTTCCCAACCCAAGAGAAAACGAGTAGAAGAAGAAAACACAGAAGAAGGCACGAGGGTAGAGGAAGCAGAATGCTCCAGGAACAAGCCACGAGCTCCCTTCCTTCCAGCAGCGAGAGATCCTCCAGCTCTGCCCCTCAGATGGAAATCAAAGAAGGCAAGTCTATCTTCGTTTTCAGAGAAGATGAGCTCTTTTTCTGCTCCCTCTCCCTCTCTCTCTCTCTCTCTATCTATCTGTCTTTTAGAGCGCTATTTCACTTGGTTCGACGCACTTTCCTCTTCTTGGTTTCGTCAAGATCGTTCTTCTATCGAAAAATAATGGAGATCATTTCAGTTTCGTTGTTATATGAGGATTGTTTCGTTCGATATGATGCGTGAAACGGGGGAAGGTTTCCGGCTATGATATACACACAAGTATATTCTATGTATATGGTTTCAGGAATGGAGAGCGACGAGGATGTAAGACGAGTGCCGGAGTTCGGGCTAGAGTTAGCAGGTCCGTCCTCCTCCGAGCGAGGACACGGTTCGGCGGTCGGCCAGGACCAGGCTCGGGTCGGGCAGCGGAGGAGGGGGAGGAGCCCCGCCGACAAAGAGCACAAGCGTCTCAAAAGGTTGTGCACCCTCCCTCATCCTTGTAATCTTCGTTATGCGCATGATCTCTTGTAATCTTCTTTTGAGCGAATCTTGATGTGTGTGTTCTGCCTGCCGCTATTATCTGATGAGCTATTTGGTTATATATGTCCGAGAAAGGTTGCTGAGGAATAGAGTATCGGCTCAGCAGGCAAGGGAGCGGAAGAAAGCTTATCTGAATGATCTGGAGGCCAAGGTGAAGGATTTGGAGGCCAAGAACTCGGAGCTGGAGGAGAGGATGTCCACATTGCAGAACGAGAACAACATGCTGAGACAAGTATGACTCTTATCTACGCATCGGTATCAGCGTCTGTGTCCATCTTCGATCTTGGACATCACTTGAATCGAGTTAATTGCTTGCTTATATTTCGTACTTCGATCGGCCACCAGTAATATCAACTTGATACCATCCTTCACCGTCTTTGCTCCTATGGTTGTGACCAGAAATAGTCTTTTATGCCATATAATGCCAACAGCAATCTGCTGATCGACTATATATATATATATATATATGTCTCTCTGCAGATCCTGAAGAATACAACTGTGAGCAGAAGAGGATCCAGTGGCAGTGCCACCGCAGACAGCCAATAGAACAACAAGGAACAGAAGAGTGATGTTCATGTTGATCGAAGACGAAACTCTTCTGAGTATGAAGAATACCTTAAGAAAGAAAGAAAAAGCTTGTTCTGTGATTGGATGACACATGCATGACGAAGCAACTTCATCAGTTTGAACTATCTTGGCTTGTATCTTGTGAATGGCACTGGAATGCCAGCCCCTGGAAATCTCCTGTAAAGACAACAGCAGCATAAATATCAGTTCCAGGAACATCATCAGTTGGTGATGGAAGATCGGCTTGGCTCCATAGATTCTCCCTTGGATTATTATCTGGAACGAAGATTGTCTCTAATATCTCAAGTTGCCGATTAATGGGGGATACATTTCGGCTACATGGAACATTGATGCTTCGTAAAACCTAGAATATTTACTTGGCTGATGCCCTTTGCTGCATTCACCAGCCAATAATTCCAACCCAATCTCACATCACCATTTCTTGCATCATCTAAAAAGAATATATCTGCTACATAGGTTTTTCATGTTAACCAGCAAGAATTAATCGCTTTAACATACCTTTTTTTTTCCAGGAAATTATATGATAGGTGATTAAATCGTAAAAACAAAGCCCTTATTGTTTAATGCACTAGTGAGATCTGAAACAAACGACTGCTCACTGTTAGCTGGTCTACCCACCCAAGTTGACCTCCTCCTTCAATGACTCTCATTCCCAGGCTGTTTCTTAGCTTGCTTCTCCAGTATATCATCACTCACTCTCAGAGTACCATTCCAAATCAAAGCCCGAGGCTTATCGTGGTACAAGAATCCTCCCTCGATCCACAGGAGACCTGTGCAGCAGAAGAAAAATGTACCGGGCTTTGTCCCAATAGGTAAATAGTCCATTAAATGGGCCCAAATAGTCCATCACTCAACCCCGAGACAAGTCTCCTAACGAGCTTGATGTTAAGAAACACATGACGAACAACGAGTTCATCATCAGATCAGTGACATCACAACCATCCATTAAGCACTACGAATATGGTTTGCTGGTTCCGGTCTATGATGTGCACAGCCCAACTACAGCCGGAGGATGGACACAGCAGAAGCAGGTCAGTAAACGAAGCGGAAATCTACGGGTACGCGTAGCTGATGCCAAAGTCACGTTTCGGGACACCGACAGCTCATCCAACGCAACACCACCGACACATCCAACCACCGCTGCTGCAAGAGAGAGGGGGCCCCAACTTTGCTCGGCGAGCCGACACTACGCTGCTACCGGTTTACCGGCACTTGGCGGTGAGACTCGCGCGAGTGACAGCCTGTGAACAACGGCACGGCCCTCGTTGAAACGCCACCTCCATCGGACGCTTCGGATCCCTTCACCACGTCGATCCTACGGCCTCGGTCGAACGGATGGTTTTGTCCTCCGAGCGCCGGTAGCCCGTCGCAGTCCGCTATGATTTATTTAATTATTGTAGTAATATCATTATTAACTTTAGCGGATGGTCGATGCTAGGTATTAAGAGGGAGGGAGAGAGAAGGGGAAAGATTGGAATCATTGGATGGGCGATAGAGGCAGCGGGTGAGAGCCCACCGGTGTGTTTCTTCGACTCCGATCGGAAGAGGTATCGTCCGATCGAGAGAGGAGATCCAGATCTCACTCTCTCTGTCCCTCCTGCTCGATCCCAGGTGATGCGATTCCGGAGATTTCAGTGAGGAAGCTCGCGGAAAGCTCGGATCTCGGTAGTGTATCGCGAGAGCCATGGAAGCCAATGCAGGAATGGTGGCGGGGTCGCACAAGCGGAACGAGTTCGTGATGATTCGGCACGAAGGAGAACCCGGGGTGGGTATCTCTCGTTTCGCACTCCGTTCTTTTTTCTTTCAAGTAATTGGGCAATTTAGACGGTCTGTTGCTTGGATCTAGTGGTGGACTTAGTTGATACCGTGGTTTGACTTTGGATCCGTGTTGATGTGATGCAATTCGGTGACGACTTGTGTTCGAATTAATCTAGATTGCAAGAAATCCAGACTGGTGCTGGCAACTCTGGAACTATTACAACCTCTTTTAGTTGCGATTCTTAGGAAAGATTAGGTTTTTTTTGTCTTTGTTCTGCAGTCCATTATCTAATTTGGGACTTCTGCTGCCGGTATATCCCACCTTGAACTCGAAATGATGTTATGTTGATAACCCTTTGTGTTTCACTATCTTGCTTGGAGGAGTTTATAGTTGCAAGATCGTTGCTCTGGTTTATGCTTCGCCAGATCTATAGGGTGAAGTGATCGTTTGATTTTTTGTGGTTTGAATTGGCTGTTAACTATGATTTCTCATCGTGGGCTCTTGTTAAATTTCATGCTTGCAACAAGATCAATTATCTCATATTTCCTTTCTCATGTTCTTTGCTCCTTATCTTCATTTCATAATGCAGCCTAAACTTATGAAGAACTTCAATGGCCAAGAGTGTCAGATCTGTGGTGATACAGTAGGGCTTTCAGCCACAGGTGACCTTTTTGTTGCTTGTAATGAGTGTGCGTTCCCAGTTTGCCGAGCTTGTTATGAATATGAGAGGAAGGAAGGGAATAAGTCTTGCCCTCAGTGCAAGACCCGGTACAAGAGACACAAAGGTAAGCTCATGGTGTTGATCATTCTTCTTCTGATTGTTGCATATGCATGTGTAAGGATAAATTGAAGCTCTCTTAAGCCTTCTTGCTCGTGAAATCCCATCAGTTTGAATAATTTTTGCTAATTTTGCGTATACAATTTAACTCTTAATCGTAGGCATCAGATCACATATCTAATATACCTCACCATGTCTGACTTGTATTTATCAGGTAGTCCTCGAGTTGAGGGAGATGATGAAGAGGATGATGTTGATGATCTGGACAATGAGTTCAGTTACAGGCAAGGCAATGCCAAGGCAGGATCTAAATGGCAACTTCAAGGCCAGGAAGATGTTGATTTATCTTCATCTTCTAGACATGAACCTCAACACCGCATTCCACGTTTGACCAGTGGACAACAGGTATAGCAAAAAATTACTTATTGTAGAAGACAAATATTGATTCACCATATCACATTTGGTGAGCAAATTAATGTTATTGCATAGTTGTTTTATTTTATCTTGTCATAAAAGGCAATATGGGGGAGCAAACAAAGATCAAACTGATTTTCAACTATTCGGCAACATTTTTATTTTAAATGTTACAAGATATGCTATCATGGTAGAAAAGGGAAAGGTTATCTTAAGAGAGACAAAAGAGAACATTAGAGATAGCTAATTGGTGATAGTTATGCCAACTGACTACGAAATTCAACTTCTGTTGGTAACATTTCACAATGGATTGTTGATATATTTTCTCTTTCCATTCTCATTAATCTGTATTTACCATTTATGAAGACCATCTAATACCATTCTTAGTTTTATCAGAGCTTGAAAAGATAAAGAAGAGCTGAGCCACAAGGAATTTTTAACTAGAATGTTGTTGTTTCGATTAACTGTTAAGGACAACTTGCATGAAGGGAAAATGACTGATTAGGCACTCTTTCAGTCATAGCTCTCTTTAGTCCTGGACAAATTTGGCTCCTCTAGGACTGATAAAAATAGCAAAATACTGAGAAATTTCTCAAAGATTACCATAACTCAAGATTCACAGCCCATACTGAAGGAAAATCTGAACTCAAGACTAATTGTATTCTTCCGAAACCTTATTGGAGCTTAATATTGTCAATCACTAAAACAATTACTAAATCATTTAGCATTTAATTGACGTAAAACTTGCATCAAATCTTGGATATATACTGCAGGATGTATTAGATGCATTATTCAGATACTGCGGTGGCAGAACTAAAGTGAGAATGAGCTTTTGCCAGTTGCCAATCATTTTATACCTTTTAGTTTCTGTTTGTATCTGGCTTATTGTTGATTCTCTCTTCCTCAAGCATAAGTGCACATTGACTTGCTGTTAAGTTTTCTTAAAAAAAGTTAACTTTCTCATCGTATTCTATGTAGAATAGTCACTTTTCACTTGACACGTCTGAGATTTATTTGTACTTTGCAGCTGTTATGTCAATGTCCAGAGCTAGAAAAGTAAACATGTTAGTCCTTTGTTGGTCAACCTACTGCTTGCTCTTACCATTCGACCACTTGTTTCAGGTGTCTGGGGAAGTCCCTGATGCTTCACCAGATCGCCATTCTATTAGAAGTCCATCATCAGGTTATGTGGATCCCAGCTTGCCAGGTAACATAAAATCCATCTTCTAGCCATAAAGTTAAAGTTAACTAATGCAAAGCAATTCAGCTTTTTAGGAGCTTGATTATTTGTGATGGTTTGTATTGCAGTTCCCGTAAGAATTGTGGATCCTTCCAAGGATTTGAATTCCTATGGGCTTGGCAGTGTTGATTGGAAAGAAAGAGTTGATGGTTGGAAGCTCAAACAGGACAAAAACATTGTGCAGATGACCAACAAATACAATGATGGCAAAGGTGATATGGAAGGAACTGGTTCAAATGGTGAAGATCTGCTAATGTATGGACTTGTGTTTCCCATTCTGGCATTTTATGTTGCTATCTCAATTTCTTTTTCCTTTTTGGCCACTGTACTTTAGTTGATAAATGATGGTTTTTACCTGTTCTGTTTCATGCTCCCTTCATCTCCATTAGTTCCAGAGCTAGATTTAGTTAGTTCAATTAAGATTTATTTTACAGTAAGGTAGTGGGACAAGTTTTGTTATTCAGAAATGCTGGTCCATTTCTATTCCTATTTACCAAGTGATGTGATATATAAATCTTTGTGTCCATAGTTCGACCAAGCAGCTCCTTATATATATAACACATGCATGTTTCAAATTGGCTTTTTTTTTGTTTTATTCATGTGTAGGTAATTTCTGGTATATGATAAGAACTAATACTTTTCAGTCTTTGTTTTATTCATGTTTATTTCTTAAACAAATAATGATGAAGGCTTCATACGGCTGATACTTGAATTATGTCTTTATAGGGCCGACGATGCTCGTCAACCTCTGAGCCGTGTAGTGCCAATTCCTTCTAACCAACTTAACCTCTACCGTGTGGTCATCATACTTCGGCTTATCATTTTATGTTTCTTCTTCCAATATCGTATAACTCATCCGGTACCTGATGCATACCCCTTGTGGCTAACATCGGTCATTTGTGAGATCTGGTTTGCATTGTCATGGCTTCTTGATCAATTTCCAAAATGGTATCCGATCAACCGTGAGACGTACCTTGAAAGGCTTGCATTGAGGTTAGTTATCAAGACATGTTCTTTGCCCGTTTTGTCATATGGTATTCTATGCAATTTTTCGATAACTTTCATTCTGATTCTTCAAACTACACGTTTGTAGATACGATAGGGAAGGGGAACCATCACAATTAGCTCCTGTTGATGTTTTCGTCAGTACAGTGGATCCTCTGAAAGAACCTCCTCTTATAACAGCCAACACGGTTTTGTCTATTCTTGCTGTGGATTACCCTGTTGACAAAGTCTCATGCTATGTTTCTGATGATGGTTCAGCGATGCTTACCTTCGAAGCATTGTCAGAGACAGCCGAATTTGCAAGGAAGTGGGTACCCTTTTGCAAGAAGCATAATATTGAACCCAGGGCCCCAGAGTTCTATTTTGCTCAAAAGATAGATTACCTGAAAGACAAAATTCAACCTTCGTTTGTGAAAGAACGACGTGCAATGAAGGTAAGGGTGGGAACTGAACGCACTTATATGATAATTTTGAGTACTAAATGATGTTGACCCATGGATCATTCCATTTCAGAGAGAATATGAAGAGTTCAAGGTACGGATAAATGCTCTTGTTGCCAAAGCACAGAAAACTCCAGAAGAAGGTTGGACAATGCAGGATGGAACTCCCTGGCCTGGAAATAATCCAAGAGATCATCCTGGCATGATACAGGTTCCATATACTTTTTCACGCCACTTCATTATATTGTTTAACCAGCTTAACTTTTCTAATCCCTTGTTTGGTTGAATTAGGTCTTCTTAGGGCACAGTGGAGGGCTTGATACAGATGGCAACGAGCTACCTCGACTTGTATATGTTTCCCGTGAGAAGAGGCCAGGCTTTCAGCATCACAAAAAGGCTGGTGCAATGAATGCATTGGTTTGTATCCTTACTTCATACTTGTAAACTCATAGTATCTGCATGCTACGTGTATGCTCCATCTTTCTCCCATATCTGTGCCATTGCTAATGAATTATTGAACCTTTAATTTTCGTTATGCTGGCCAGATTCGTGTGTCTGCTGTCTTGACCAATGGTGCCTACCTTCTCAATGTGGATTGTGATCATTACTTCAACAACAGCAAAGCTCTTCGGGAAGCAATGTGTTTTATGATGGATCCTGCACTAGGAAAAAAGACATGCTATGTTCAGTTTCCTCAAAGATTTGATGGCATTGACTTGCATGATCGATATGCCAACCGCAACATTGTGTTTTTTGATGTAAGAAATATACCAACATATGAATGCACTGGGCATGGTGGAAAGATATTCTTTCTTACTGGAATTATGTTTTGCAGATCAACTTGAAAGGTTTGGATGGCATCCAGGGTCCTGTTTATGTGGGAACAGGGTGCTGCTTCAATAGGCAGGCCTTGTATGGCTATGATCCTGTGTTGACTGAGGCTGATTTGGAACCGAACATTATTTTCAAGAGCTGTTGTGGTTCAAGAAAGAAGCGAAAGGGAGGGGACAGGAGCTATATTGATAGTAAGAAAAGGGCTATGAAGAGAACTGAGTCTTCAGTTCCCATCTTCAATATGGAAGACATGGAGGAAGGAATTGAAGGTAAATACTTTTCCCTTCTGTTGCATCAAAATCTTTTGGTTAAGAGGACCTGAATCAGCGAAAGAAATTTTTCATGATTTACTCTTAATGAATATCCTGTGATGGTAATAACTTCACAGGAAATTAGATGCTTCCGTGGCTATTGATGTGGATAAATCATTTGCAATCTATAAAGCATGGATATGGATATAGGATACCAAATCTTGGAAACGTAGAATAAAATAAGGCATGGTTAATACAACAAAGAATGCATTGAATGTACAATATTACATATGAAAATGTTTGATAATATATATAGAGTGTTAGATTAGCTAATTATATATCAAAATTCATGATATTTTAGGGTTGACACTGAACCAGAGGTAAACGATTATTACTTTTAAGTAATTAATAAACCATTCATCTTGAAAAATACTACTTTAACATGATACATCAAGAATACCAAGAAGATAACAAGAAGTTTTTTCCGTTGATTTTGCTAATTATTGATGTTTAGGTCAAATAGCATATAAAAAATTTAGTTAATCATTTATCCATCTTAAAAGAACTTCATATGTATAACACAATAAAATTTCAAAGTAATTATGCCTCATAGGTTGCAATAATGTTGATTGGTGGCAGAGAGGAACTTCACAAAGGGTAAATGCTTCTTATATGCTAATTATGTTAAATGGTGATGGAGAGGCTAAAACTCTAATTTTCTTTATATGTATTTGTTATTTGCATATGCGTAAAGCCTCTATGATATTATTAAATGTCCTTCCTACTCATGCCTTATGTTGATCCTTGGATCTCTGACTGTTAGTTATTGATCTTTTCTAATATGACAAAAAATTTTTGCATATGTCTTAGCATTGTGAACGTTCTAGCACTTCATTGCAACCGACCATTGAAATTTTTTTTTTGCTGTGTTGTGTTCATTTTCTTTATGATGCATCCTGTATCTTTTTAATGAAACTAAAGTTATCTATAATGATATTATCCTAACTCCAATTGTACTTAAGCCAGATATGGATCTTTTTATGTCTCATGATATAGGAAATGAATAAATCAAATTGCCCTTGAATGAAATTGGATTTGTTGATCATTTGGTTGGTATGTCTATTCAAGTGAATGTGTTTTGGTTGTTTTTGTATATTATAACTTTCTCACTCTTTTTGACATGCTAATGGGCACTACGTCTGGCATGTCAGAGCATGTTGTTTGGCAGCCATAACTTTGATTTGTGCCTTAGAAACTTACCTATTTAAGCTACATGGGATTCTGCTTATTGAAAGACCATCCTGGTTCTGAATAAATTCCCTCTGAATGCACAGAACACTTTTGTCATGTTATTTTCTCTTCTTTTCCCTTCTTGTCTTGCATCTTTCTAAATAAACTATCAAGCCTTAGCATGTCTTATTGATTGTCTCTGAAGGTTACGAGGATGAGAGATCACTCTTGATGTCTCAGAGGAGCTTGGAAAAGAGATTTGGTCAGTCACCAATCTTCGTTGCATCCACCTTCATGGAACAGGGAGGCATACCACCATCCACAGATCCAGCGTCTCTTCTTAAGGAAGCCATACATGTTATTAGCTGTGGGTATGAAGACAAGACTGAATGGGGAAAGGAGGTTAGTCTGAATGATACTTAATCAGCATCTAGTATCTTTTAGCACTATATTTACAAAGGTTGATGAATTGAGCTTATGCACCTGCATTCAGATTGGCTGGATATATGGGTCTGTTACTGAGGATATTCTTACCGGATTCAAGATGCATGCCCGTGGATGGATTTCAATTTATTGCATGCCACCCCGCCCTGCATTTAAGGGTTCTGCCCCAATCAATCTGTCTGATCGTCTTAACCAAGTGTTGCGGTGGGCCTTGGGATCAATTGAAATTCTGCTCAGTAGACATTGCCCTATCTGGTATGGCTACAAAGGAAGATTGAAGCTTTTGGAGAGGGTGGCATACATCAATACCATAGTTTATCCTATCACATCTATCCCACTGATTGCCTATTGTGTTCTTCCTGCTATTTGCCTTCTCACAGGAAAATTTATTATTCCAGAGGTTAGATCTTCACATTTATACGTTTAGTCTTCCCATTTGGTTTCATATATATTCATTCTTGTCTTAATTTCTTTTACTCTTTGCATGACTAGTATAAAGCAATAGATCTCAGTGTTGCCTTTAATAGTGTTATCCTCTGGCTCCATATGGAATTGCAAAAGCATGTACGGCCATCAAATATTTACTGGTTTGACATTTTATGGTTTTACTTCTGTTTAATTGTAATACCTATTATTCCGTAGGCAGTATCCCTGGTATAGACAGCATAAGCATTTTGAGAAACTTTAGTTTGAAGTTAAGGAAATATACTTTCTCTCAATAACTAACCAATTTCTGGAATTTCACTTGTTTGTTTGTAGTAAAACTAGTTACTTCTCTAGATCTAATACATCTGGTATCTTGGCATTCTCTTTGCAACTACCAACCAAGCTCATGGTTCTTGGATCTTGGTTGTAAAGGAGATATTGTTTTATTAATATACATCTGCAGAAGTTGTTCAAAATCCTTGATCCCAAAATTCATGAGTTTAGAATATGATTGTATACATTCGACCACATGAATGGCATGTTCAGTAGTATGCCGTATGAATAGTCTCCAAATCGGTTCCATTTTGTTGACAATTTGATGGATCACTGTGATCGATTACCACAATTTTATACTTAATTGTAACTTGCCTCTTTTACATTGCTGGGGTTTCTTCTGATCTTACTTATCCATCTTGCAGATAAGCAATTATGCTGGAATGTGGTTCATTCTGCTCTTCATCTCTATCTTTGCTACGGGAATTCTTGAACTTAGGTGGAGTGGTGTTGGGATTGAGGACTGGTGGAGGAATGAGCAGTTCTGGGTGATCGGTGGCACATCAGCTCATCTGTTTGCTGTTTTCCAGGGTTTGCTGAAGGTGTTAGCAGGAATAGATACCAGCTTCACTGTCACGTCAAAAGCATCTGACGAGGATGGAGATTTCTCTGAACTGTATATCTTCAAGTGGACAAGTCTCCTGATTCCACCGACCACTGTCCTGGTCATTAACATGGTAGGGATAGTCGCAGGCGTCTCTTATGCCGTTAACAGCGGCTACCAGTCATGGGGTCCTCTGTTTGGAAGGCTGTTCTTCGCATTTTGGGTGATTGCACATCTGTATCCTTTTCTCAAGGGTCTTATGGGTCGGCAGAACAGGACACCTACCATCGTCATCGTCTGGTCCATTCTCCTTGCTTCAATCTTCTCATTGCTTTGGGTACATATCGATCCATTTACTTCTCCCACGCAAAAGGCTGCAACGATGGGACAGTGTGGTGTCAATTGCTGAACCTTCCTGGCTGATCCTATTAAGGACACGGATGTTATTGGAAGTCAGTCAGCAAGAATCTATACACGTGGTGATTGTGCGCACGCCCCGTGTCAAGAAGTTTTAGTTATTTATGATTATTTATTCTCATAATATATTTTGCTTGGTCACTGGACTGTTCAAGCTTCTGTTGCAGTAATCTTAAGTTTCACTTTTATTCTTTGTGTGTAGAATATGGCAAGTTTATAAAGACAAGGACTTTGTACAAAACATCATGATCTGTGACCAGAATCATTTTGTGTTAAAGAGTGCTTTGTTTTGTGAAAGATCATGACCTTAGTTGTTGCTTAATATTGATGCATACATGAATGGTTCAAGTAAAAGTCTAGATTACAAAGGTGAAGAAGGTCTTCAAAGGATGCAATATAAGGTTATGCTTGAAATTTTCATGAACAATAAATCGATTATACTTAAGATGCAATGATGCAATATAAGGTTATGCTTGAAATTTTCATGAAGAATCTGAAAACTTGGTATCATGATAAACAAATTCTGACATTTTACCTGTTTAATAATAGAAAAAATTTGAAAATGCATGAGGTTGAATTTTGTATTCAAGAAAATGTATTGAGATTGCCATATCACATGAACTATTTATTGGCTTTGGCATTTTAAACAGATCCGACACTTTTAAGTTCTCAAATCTTTTCTTTATTGTTCATAAATTATGGGTCAAACTCAATACATATCATTCGATTCTTTCCTTATTCGTGAGCTTAGATGGTACAACAAATCTATCCGCAATTGGTTCGAAATATGATACGATAATTCTTTCTACAAGCAAATATTTTTTTAATCATTTAATTGTAATTAATTACATTAGTCTTCTTATTATTTTCTCCATAATCCGACCAAAGTGAGAACCATAATCGTATGGTTTCTTTTTTAATCTATCTTTAACATTTCATATGTTTCCAACACACATTCATGCAACACATTAATATCGACAACTTACCTACCTATATAATAGCTGGAACAAATTTACGAGATTCTATCTTTCTCTGTAGCTTTTGGAATCTTGAAGCTCTATTCCATCCACAGCAGCATCCTATTTAAGATTCACATGATACTTCGTTTCTTGCAGCGTAAATGATTTCATCTTAGAATTCGCTGAATTAGTCACTCAGTCCATGGAATATGTACCTGCATATTGTTTTTGAGAAGGTAAAGCATGTTCACGAATCTGCTGAAGGAGCGGTGTTTATTTTGGGTTTAGGAAAGCATTACTTGGTGAATGAATCACTACAAGTATCTATCAGATGAGGAGGTAAGGCATTATGTATCACTGCAGACACAGAAGGATTTGTGTGTGGAAATAATTGTATGTGAAAGACAATGAGGAAACACAATGTTTTTGCTTCGAAAAGGACTCATTAATATATCTTTAATTGTCACACAATTATAGCAAAAATAATTCAAAGGATATCCAAGGAAATATAGTTCTACGCAATCACCATGATAATGAGAGCCATACATAAATATATGTAAACATATATGTATGCTCAATAAAGTCTTCACAACTCACCCATGACAGCTATATTCGTCATATATATATATATAGTACTCAAAACGGTATGCTGTTCTCCCATGACCTGTCCTCCTAAATAATGACCGACTTTCCAAATATTAGTGGTTGGCCGGCCTTTATAGATCTCTCTCTCGCTCTGTGGCTCCGTAGACAAGGCAACACAGATACAGAGAGTATGAGGTTTGCATGCATCACGTTGCTTCTCGCCTCCTGCAGCGTCGCGCTGCTCAACGTCAACGAAGCGAATCAGGCTGAGCAACTAATAAGGCTGACTCAATCCAAGAGATCGACATGGTCGGATCAACCTGACCCATGGCTCGATCTCGACGCCGCCGACTCGGCCTCCTCGTCGGTCTACGTCGGCCCTCAGGATGGCCTGAGTGACGCCGATAAGATCACAGCATTGCCGGGGCAACCCCGCGGCGTTGACTTCGATCAGTATGCAGGGCACGTGACGGTTGACCCGCAGAAGGGGAGGGCGCTGTTCTACTACTTCGTCGAGTCCCCTCGCGGGTCTTCGTCCAAGCCTCTCGTCTTGTGGCTTAACGGAGGTGATCTGAATGCCTTGCCGTTGGATTTTGGACCTCCTACAGCTTCGTTTTCCTTGGATGATCTCGATCGTATTTGATTGCAGGGCCAGGGTGCTCCTCTCTGGCATATGGAGCCATGGAAGAATTCGGCCCTTTCAGAGTAAAAAGCGATGGCAAAACGCTGGAGAGAAATCCTTATGCTTGGAATGAAGGTAATGGGAGGTTCTTCTACTTCAACTTGAGCACTTGGACCATGTTCTGATGATGACCGGCTGCAACTGTGACAGAGGCCAATGTGCTCTTCTTGGAATCCCCGGCAGGGGTTGGCTTCTCGTACTCGAATACTACCACAGATTATGATCAAAGCGGAGACAATAGGACCGCGGAAGATACATTTACCTTTCTGCTAAACTGGCTGGAGAGATTCCCCCAATACAAGAATCGCATGTTCTTCATCGCCGGGGAGAGTTACGCCGGCCACTACGTCCCCCAACTCGCCTCGCTCATACTGCACCGCAACAAGCTCGCCAACCAGACTCTCATCAACCTCAGTGGCATTGCAGTAAGTGAATCTGATCTCACGAGAGTCTTAGCTCGTCTGCCACAGCTTAACTGTTACGACATGGGTGATGTTTCCTCCTAGATCGGGAACGCTTATGTTGATGACGCAACCAACAGCGAAGGAAGGTACGAGTTTCTGTGGAGTCACGCACTGATATCCGACGAGACATTTGCTAGAATTCGTCGATCCTGCAACTTCTCTGCCATCATAAACCAAGAGTGCAACAAAGCTACAACAGATGCCGATGCAGAGGCCGGAAACATTGATCCTTACAATGCATATGCTCCCGTTTGCGTCGACTCCAACAGTTCTTCTGAGTCTGGCATATCGGTAAGATATCCATTCCTGCTGGCAATAAGTTAAGATGATTAGCTTCCAGATGAAGTTTAGATGTTGATGATCAAATACAACAGATGGCCGACATAGATCCCTGCTCGGATACTTACGTGGAGGCGTACCTGAACGATCCTGAGGTGCAAAGGGCTCTTCATGCGAATGTTGCCAAGATTGATGGACCATGGAGTTCTTGCACGTACTGATTGCTTCTCTCTCTGTGTCTGTTTTAAAGATCAGCATGAGCGGATGAAACCTTTACACACGCTGACCTTTCCTTGTTCGAGTATCATGCAGTGATCTCCCTTGGAATGACAGTCCTAAGAGCACAGTGCCGGTCATGAAGCAGCTCGTCGACAGTGGGTTGAGGGTGTGGCTATTCAGGTCCTCTCATTCTTGCTTTAGCATTCCTTTTCCTTCTCGTCCAAAAATCTACAGTACATAAAGTCATACTTATCTTTCTTGCTATTCTGATGTCTCACAGTGGTGATACCGATACGGTGTGCCCGTACAGAGGCACGGTTGAGGCAATCAAAATCATGAAGCTGCCGATCAAGAACCCATGGCGTTCGTGGTATTCCGACAAACAGGTAATTGGCAGTCTGCCATCGACCTCAAATATTTAAGGTTTGGAGAAGACAAAAGAATCCGAAGAACTATGATGTGTTGGTATAGGGTCGGTCTAGATTCAGATTTGATGCTTGTGCAACTTTTGGATATATGTGATCAGGTAGGAGGCTATGTAGTTGGCTATGGAGGAGGACTGACGCTCGTCACGGTGAGGGGAGCAGGGCACATGGTTCCGAGCTACCAACCCGAGCGAGCATTGTTGATGTTCTCCAGTTTCCTCCGTGGAGAGCTCCCACCACCTTCCTAAGATGTTGTTCACTGCAACCCCTGTCTTCATTGCACTTTTGAAAGAGAAAACATACTCTTGGAATTTTAGTCCATTTAAATATTTATATTTGTTGAAACATTTACCTGAGAAAACTTACTCCTTGGGCTGAGACTTTGCCTGTGTTGCTCGACTTGGAATCACCAGTAATATCACCTGATGAAGGGAGAGATAATGTACTGCATCAACAGACAGGAGAATGATGAAAGATATTACATATTACACAAATTCTTGATAAATACAATGGCAAAGTGGTCGAACCTTTTTTTTTGGATCAAGATCACTGTCAAGAATCATCTACTGAGCTTAAAGAAGAGGGAGTATTGAGGCAGAGCTGTAAAACCTAATAATTATTTTTAACTATCTGTTCTCTTCTATAAATAGAAAGTATCTCTGGGGCTTAAATGATTTCTCTTTCAAGAGAAAAGAAGAAGTATCTAGTTCTCTTTGCATATCGACGTCGCTATGATATTCGGATCTGGGTCAATGTCTTTACAGATCACATAGAGATCTTTCTTAGATGACATCGAAAGATACACATAATAAATTTAATTTAATATTATTTAATTTTAATCTTAATATAAAAATATATCACAACTTTTATGCTTACGACTTGCTCGCAAGGGCTCATCCATGTATCCAACTCAACAAAGATAAGTACCTACATCTGCTTTAGATTCATATTTCTAGTTTTTCATTACTATTTCTGAGCAGTAATCAACATATATTTGCACAGCAATCAAATTTGACACCAATACTCCTTTGTTCTTCTCTATAATCAAATAACAAATATAAATTTTGAACCCCTGTAATACATGAACAATACAAAGAAGTACAACAAGATTATTATCAGCAGAAAACAAGAAGATAGAAATATGTCTAGCATAATTTTAGCACTTGATTTGTTGATGCAAGATTCTATTGCAATTAAAATTTTAAAGTATCTTTAGTCACATTTGCTACTAGAGTTAAACATCGTGAATTTATCTAGAACACCCTCCTGATTATTAGGAGAAAAGAAGGAAGACTAAGCGAGTCCATAAATCTCAATATTTGCTTAACCTGCTTTAGAACGAGAGATAATAAGAACTATTATTAGAGTCACTAAGTGGCTGGGCAACCATCGTAGTTGTTGGTCGATACGATCAATGAGGACTCACTCGATTGTGATAGTCACATGAATAAGAATGGTTGCATGTGGGTGTGATGGAATGTCACGACGGTTGTAGGGTCTTTGGTCAAACACAAAAGAAATTCGGATGGTGGATGGTCACACGCTACAATTGTCGTAGGCCTCGTATAGGCTGCAATAATTGAGAGAAAAAAATATTATGATTTTTTATCTATTAAAAGATTATTTTATTTATTTTTTTTTAATTTCATTCAGTGTCCTCTTGATAGTTCTATCCTTCAAAAAT